GATTTGAACCTGCCACCTTAGATGTATGTGGCTGGCGCCTTAGCCACTTGAGCCACAGGCGCTGAGCCTTCCACTATAATCTTGAGAGAACCTGAAATACCACTGGAATTCCACCCAGTGGAAGAGGAGAGAGGTCCAGAATCAAACTACTTCTCAGGTGGGAATTGTTTCTTCCTCCAGATGGTCCTCACTTTGTCTCCCATCCCTCTACCAATCTCATTGTGCTTGCATAAGTCTTTAAGGGGAAACGATGATACTTCCATTTGTTCTGTGTAAAGACAGTGGCCAGAGCAGCCTTAGTCTTAAACATGAATTTTTAAAAGTCCCTTATAAACGTAAACTCTTGAACGAATGGTGGTGAGGATTTCTTACACAGAGGCAAGAATTCACTGTGATGAGCCTTTAAAAATAACTTTTAAGAGCTGTAATTTAATGTTTCCCAGCTTTGTTGTAAGTTTCTTAGTACTTTTTCACTCTTTCTCTAAACTTTGACATGTACCCAAACTCTAATTTTATTAATTTCTCTAAACAGAATAAACACCCTGGCCCATAGAGTTTCCTTCAAAGGAATCTCCTTCCTTTGAGGAAGTTATTTATTTTCTTTGGTCAGTGAAATGCTTTAAACTTGCTCTGTGACTAACTGCTGGTTTCCGTTTTGATAGATTTATTCTTGGATAGAATATATGACTGAGAAGTATCCTGATATGGTTAAAAAAATCCACATTGGATCCTCATATGAGAAGCATCCACTTTATGTTTTAAAGGTATGTTATGGAGAGAGTCATTGATCTCTCAATTTAAAGGGAGGGATTAATTCTCCCAGTGGTGCTTTTTAAAACTTGATTTTTTTTTTCTTTTACTTCTGGAAATATCTGTATACAAGTGTTCCTAAACTTTAATATACAGCTTTTTAGAGGCTGGTGAATGCCTTTAAATTTTTTTTTCTCTAATAATGTATTGTTGGTCTAACAATGGAAACTTGAGGTCTAGAATCAACTCTGTCTCTGTTTATGGTACATTATATAAGCCATTTAACTTTCCTGGCCTTCAGCACTCACCTTCATAAAATGAAGG